TAACAATTGATTCTTCTTCTGGCACTCAGATTTGGTTTCAAAACCAACGCAGGAGACATCTAAGGCAGGGCCGATTGGGGTCCACAGACTCTGCGGGAGAAGGGCAATTGCATGGAGTGGAGCAGCCTCAAGCTTGCACTGCAAGTGAGTATTCAGCATTCCAGAAGCATTTGCTCCGAGGATCTCCTTCCCAAGGAAAACTCACTGCAGGGGGTTGCCAAATGTTTGGCAAAGAGGGCTTAGGAGAAGAGCCAAAGATATCTTCTTCTGGCTCCCTCAGTGTTCCAGATAGGAGCACCATGTCCCTCTTTGGCCAGCGGGCTGTTTCTTGGCCAGGAAGGGTTTGAATCCTCTGCTCCCAAAACTGCTAGGAAGTGCAGACTCCTCTTCTCCCATCACCTCGGGGGTTTTCTCCAAGGGCTACGTAGCACTGGTCAATGACTGTCTCAGAGGACTCAGTGGGAGGAAAGGTGGTGGGAAAAAAATATAGATGTAGATACACGTGCCCACACAAACACACAGACACACACACACCAATTTCTGTTTCACGTTGAATGTGCCATCCGCCTAAAATGCCTCTTTTCTTGCTTTGTTCCCCTTTAGAATGGCTTCACAGTGTGTGACGGAGTTCTATGCTCAGAAGCGAGCCCCTGCTTCGGGCTTCAAGTTCTTCAGTTGCAGCCTTGAAGTTCTTAGTCATTTCTCTTTGAATTTGTCTTTCATGAGTAACATCAGATTGAACAATGAAGCACTCCTCAGGGGAGTGGAACCTCAGCCCACGTGTGTTCCTGCCTCCTGCTCCCTCCCTGGGATTGTTTCTCAGATGCTCATTCCCCACATGCTGGCACCTCAGAACCCATGACCTCGTCTGCCCTCTGTCTGGGAGCAAATGGGTTGAGTCAGCCAGGAAGACTCACATCCCACCGTGAGTCACCCTCCACCCTCTGCAGGGGCCTCGGGGTAGGTGCAGAAAGGGTGGGTGCAGTTCACACCCGATGGTTCTCATGGTAGGGTGAGGAGACAATGTCTGGGCACTAGGAGGGTTACTCAGCAGGGGCATCTTGCCCACCCCTCATCTAGGTACCAAGTGTATCACGGCACAGAGGTTAGAGGAGATTGAAGGTTGAAATTGGGGGGTCGCCTGTCTGCCATGGGTGGGTTGGTGGGCTCTGAGAAGGGGAGATGGACTTCTCCGAGTCCACTCAAGGCCGTGCATTTTTCCCTTGCATCAGGCCCTACAAATCATGCAGCCAACCCTGGTTAGAACCTATGTTTCCATTTTCCCGTCCTCAGCTCAGAGTCCACGGTCCTTGTGTGATGTGGCCAAATGGCTCTGAGCATCTGGTGAGCACTGGTGAGATGAGGGGGGAGAGGCAATCAGATCATTCGGTGCTGGGGTAGACAGCTGGTGATGGGCATCTAAGGGACTGAGTGCCAGCACCTCCCAAGCTTTAATGTAAATGGCAATCGACTGGGATGTTGTGAAAGTGCAGATTCTGATTCCGGAGTTCTGGGCAGGGCCTGAGATTCTGCATTTCTAACATGCTTGTCCATCGTGGAATACATTTTGAGTAATAAAGTTCTAGAAGTCTTAACGTAGCAACAGCGTGGCCTCCAGATCAATACTTAGTGAGCCCCAGTAGGAGCTCTTATGACAGGCAGAGGGAATGACTGCGTGGAACTGAGCCAGGAGCCCACACTATGACGACCTACCCGGGACTCTGTGTCCCTGGACCCTTCACCTGATAATGTGGGAATGCTTAGTCAATGTGATCATCAGCAGAGAAACTAAAAACTCACCCATAAATAACCTCACTCAATCCTCACAACCTTGTCAGGAAAGTATAAAAAGACTGTTTTATAGATGAAGGAATGGAGGCACAAAGGATGGGGGGACATGCTCCAGGGTGCAACTGTCAAGTGGCAGATGTAGGATCTGAACTCAGATCTGACTAAGGCCCTTCTCACTTTGCCAGCATCACTAAATTTAAGTCTGGAGGCTGGCCTAGCTGTGGCGGGAAGCTGGTGTCCCTACCCATCATGTGCCATCCCTGATCCTGTAGGAGCCCGGAGCGTGAGGTGTTGGGCCTGTGCCCTGGGCACCCCGGCCAGCCTCCTCTGCACCCCTAGCCAACAGTCACCTCTGCCTTCAGCCACTCGATATTGATCTCCCCATCCTCGATCTGCTGCCCTAGCAGCTTGCCCATTGTCTTCTTGTCTACATGATCTGCAGCAGGTGCAGGTACTTCTGCATCAGCGCTTCACACTCCCTGGCCAGGGTCTGGTGGCTGTGGACAGACAGACGTGTAAAGACACTGCCTTCTTGTCCCCCAGAGATCCAAGCAGAAGTGGGGCTCCCCCACTGACTGCAATTAGGAGAAGATCCTGACTCCCAGACATGGTGTACAGGGCCTTGACCTGGCTGCTGTGCTGTTACCGACTGCTCTGGCCCCTTCTCCAATTCCTGTCTCACACTCTGACCTCTGGTTCCTCTAACTGATCCTGTTCTCTCCCCTCCCCCTCCAATCCACCCCCCCCCCAGGGCCTTTGTACAGTCTCGCTCTCTTGTTAGGGGTAATGCATCTGGTGACTTTAAGTTAAAATCAACGCTCAATGAAACAACAAAGCCTAGATGACAGCACATCTGTTTACAACATGGTTCACTTAATATTTTGAGTCCACTGTTGAGATCTACTGCTCAGAGAAAGAGAATCCTTTCAAAATATGACTGCTTACTGGCAAGTGCTGTAGTTCCCATGTAGAGACTGATGCTGGTGTGTGCCTTTCTCCACACACACATAGAAGTTAGGAAAAGTCTTATGACTCACATAATACAGGTCTTTGAGGAGAACAAGGCCAGAATCTCAAGCAGCTCTGACATCGCTTGAGAGAGCAAGGAAAGGAGCCTGGCCTGGGTTTTTATTGTGGTTGGGGGTTTTAAAGAAAAAATATTCAATGACTCTTGTCAAAGACGGTAAGGCTTATTTTATTCAGAACCACTGTGATATGCAGAGACCACCGTGATGGGATTCACAGTGGGGGAGAAATGATATTGGACTAGACTCTGAATGAAGCATGGGCAAGTAGGAATTCACAGCCAGGCAGCATGGTGGGGCTCAGGTGATGGAAAATTACTAAGAGAAAAAAAATGTGTTGGGGTTTCTGACTAACCTGACCTAACAGGATTCTTACCAGAGACAGACCAGAGTGATCAGACACCACCTGAGGGATGGTGAAGGAGGAGGAGGAGCCTGAGCAGATCTCGAAGGTGATCAGACATATGGGTGGGGGTTCTGGTTAAACTGACTTAGCAATGTTCTTGCTAAAACTGGATTTTACAAGGAATTCCACAGACAAGCCTACGAGAAGGTTCAGGAGCCTGACTAAAGTTTGGTCAAAGCAATAAATCTTTGCCAGGGGTGAGACCAGGGCAAGAGTTCTGCACACAGACAAGGATTGTGTGGTTGGATCTGAAGCCAATGCCAGAGGAGGGAGCCTCTGGAATTTCTCCTCAGGTTTTCCAGGTGTGGACACGAGGGGAAGAGGGAGAGGAGAGACGTAAGCTGTCAGCACACATCAAAAAGTGCAGAATCTGACCACTCATTACAAGGACAAACATGTAGAAAAATATGCATTCACAATGGCTTGTTTTTATATAAAGAAACACCAACAGGAAGCTCAAGAATGATCAAAACTGTGTACTGGGGGTGGCTAGAGTATCAGCGCTGGAAGGGTCTCAGAAATGTTGGCAGTGACACTTCTGAGGTTAGACTTTTGTATCTCTAAAATTTTCTAATATAAACAGAAATTTACACATACCATGTATTCCCATTTAATAGTTTTTCTTTAATTTTAACTTCTGTACATAGGAAACCAATCTAAGATTTAATTCCTTTAGCACACTAACGGTTACAAAAGAGTAAACCATAGAAAATGATATTTTCATATCTCTCACTAACTAAAAGGACAAGCTGCATCATAGTTTGTCCTTCCATTGTGTCTCACACAGGCAGTATTTTCAAGAATCAGTGGCATATCATAATGCAATAGGGGTTTGGGTTAGCTCCTTAAACATAGTATGATTAGTTTGATTAGTTTTCCTCACATCAATTAAAATATAAATTCCATTGCTTTAGCTTTTTAAATCTCAATGTTCTCTAGGGACATGCACACGCAAACACTGATGTAAAAATGAAAACTGCACCTGGAAACTTCAACACATTCATTTCACATCTTGAGATTCTCTTGCCTAAAAAGAACAAAAATTCTATTTAGTTTCACAATTTTCTTGCCTTACTGATGTTATGTCTCTCCATCAATTCACATTTTTAAGGCCAAGAAACTCAAAATGTTATTTATCATACAGGAAATAAAATTACAAACAGCAAAGGGAAACCAGAAGCACAGGGCTACACTGTTCAATTGATACTGGACTAAAAAGGAAAGAAACACAAATATTGGGATCAGCACAGATAAGCAGCCTGCTTCCCACAGGACAGAAGGAAAGCCACATTCAGAAAGTTAAACACATTCTAAACTCTCCTGGTAGAGACAGAAAGCCTGGAGTGGGCCAGTCCATGGCTCAAAAGGGTGGGGACACCTGAGCAGCCACAGGAGTGGACTCTGGGGGCTCACACAACCTGCTCTGCCTGGGGAGGAAGAGATGGGCTCCCTCTCTCAGCTTCCACTCTCACAAGTGAGAAGACTCTCGGCAGGATGCACTTTAAGGTTGTGACTCAAATGAACCCTAAATACATAGACCCTAATCCAGACACAGAACTCCTGAATTTCACAGACTTTCTCAATGTGCACAAATTACACTCTGTGGGCACCTGCACTGTGGGTGCAAAACTCCACCCTATGTGTAGACACAGATCCAAGGTGAACACAGGGACAACCTCAGGAAGGGCAGCAACCCCCAACCCCTGTGCAAGTGCCTTCCCAGCTTTCCAGGGCTCTGTAGCTTCTTTCAGCAGAAAGCCTCCCTCTGCAGTGAGTATGAGCAGGGAGGACACCCAGGAAGAACGTGTGGGCCCTCAAGTACTACCCTGTGCAGGTCCAAGGGGGCCTTAGCTTAGAGACCCTGACCCCAGGCCTCTGCTCTCAATCACGTTGCTTTGGACCACAGTGATCTTTTTTTTTTTTTTTTTTTTTTTTTTTTTTTTTT